TGTGTGTGTTTAGGAAGCCAGAGGACAGATTTTATAGAACGTGACTTATTTAATAAATATCTACATTCCACAACTTACCACGTTCTGGTGCTTCAGTTTTTGATCAAAAAAGACTGGTATGTGGTATAATATGGAAAATTCTTCCTTTATGATGGCAAGATGTTTTTCCTGTCAGTATTTGCAACCACCTAGTCAGGAATAACATTTGACAATTCATCGATAGAGTATTCAATGACATTCTGAAAGATGAAATGAGAATATTTCCCTGGAACAATAAGACACTAATGAGAACTAATACAACACTCAGTTTATTTTCTAGAGATTATTTGGTTCAGATAAGAAGCAACAATGCACCAGGGTGCATTATGGAATAACAGGTAAAATTTAGGAAGTGTATAGATGGTGAAGTGGGCCATAGAATTTTCATAGAAAACTAGAATTCACTGAACACCATCTCTCTCTCATTGCATACCTTGGCAACTAAAGTTGAATAGGACTCTTTTTTTTTGAGGTGGTCGGTGCTTATGCTCTTCTATTAAAATGCAAGTGTCTCTTGGGACAACGTGCCTAGGATCAATTAAAATCATAACAGTAATTGCAAACAAGGAACTCATGCTAATGAGCTAAAGAAAATGTTCTGGGGAACGTGGGTAGTTGAGTGTGCAACAAGGGAAGGAAAAGAAATGGAGAAAATGTAGGGCATTCAGAAACAAACCACCTACGGGGCACGTCTGGGTGACTAGGTTAAGCCTCAAACTTTGGCTCAGGTCATGAGCTCGTGAGTTCGAGCACTGTGTTGGGCTCTGTGCTGATAGTTCAGACCCTAGAGCCTGCTTCAGTTTCTGTATGTGTGTGTCCCTCTCTCTTTGCCCCTCCCCCACTCACACTCTGTCTCTCTCTCTCTCTCAAAAATGAATAAGCATTAAAAAAATTTTTTTAAACCCTACCTATTTCATAATTTCTTGGAGAAACTCACAGTATCACACTACACTAGAAGTCTCTGGCATTTAATGTATGGGATGTTGTATTGGACTCAAACAGAAGAGAATGGTTTAGAAAACACAGTGCTTGTACAATTTTTTACCTGTTTTCTAGAATGAAAAACATTCTGAAGGTCATCCTTTCCTCCTTGCATGATTATTTTTTATTTGACAAAAATCAGTTAATTTGGAGGAGAGCAAAGCTGTATGTCAATGAATTGGTTGCAATCTCATCAGGCAATCAGACGTGAGATCAACACAGCTGTTGGAACAGTAACAGCCAGAAAGATTCTAGTCACAGGCCGGTCGGGAGCACAGGAGCAAAGAGCATTCTGATCACGTGGGGTGACACCAGCCAAGATTTATTAATATATTCCTCCAAGAGATATTTAAAATCAGTACCATGCTTTCAAAGATTATAAAACAGCTTAATAGTAATAAGGGTAGGATTTTGGCTGTTCTTAAACCCTTTCCTTCCAAAACTAAGCCTACTTTAAAAAACTGGGCATATAAAATCTAATCTTGTGACTCTGAAGCAACATATACCATATTGCATATTAAGATTGTGTATAATATATTTATTTGCATACAGAAATATGTATTTCTATTATACATTTCATTACTTTATTTATAGAATATGTATATTAAGCATACAGCATATTCCAGGAAGATACATTAAATATGCACACAGTTCATGCTGCAGCGTGCACCCTTTTAAAAGAAGCAGATTTAAGAGGCATGGTATTGTATGTACATGCTGAAAATACACTTTGCACAATTCGTCCAGCTTTGGGTGCTTCCCTAATCTATTTGCAACACCAGTGCTGTGGTTGTTGAAAGGGATATTATCAAATTGGGAGAAGGCAACTACCAATTGAACTAAGTAAGAGAAAATAAAAGTAGATCGCATTTCTAAGTCTATGTTGCCATCATTTTGAACTCCCATATTCCCCAAAGTCAGATCTCCAGGATCAAAAAAGCAGTGACCGGGCAAAGAGTGGAAGTATGTGGGTCCTCCAGCCTCCCCATTCAAATGCGAAAGCTTATCCCATGTGGCTTACTATGTTGGTGCTTTGTTCTACCACTGTGGGAGCTGGTACTAAATTAATGTGAACTGGTGAAGGGATAATCATTTCTTTTCCTTCCTTCCTTCCTTCCTTCCTTCCTTCCTTTCTTTCTTTCTTTCTTTCTTTCTTTCTTTCTTTCTCTCTTTCTTTCTTTCAAAGAAATGAACTGGCTTTTTGACGTTCTTAATCTCCTCTTCTTATAAGACCACTCCGGAATATTTACATTATTGCTATGAGGAGAGAAGAAATTCTTGACAGATATTTACCTTTCCAGTGAAAATAAAAGAGATGATTCATATCATTTCTGAAAGAGGCTCTGGATGTTTCTGAAAGAAAAAAATGGTAGCTCCAATAGAAACCGACCACATCAACTGCAATCACTTAATGGCCAATTCCTGGCAACCTCAATTGACTGGACTCTGTGGCAATTATGAAGGGACATTAAGATGTTGGAAACAATGTGTTATGTGCATGGTCTGGTGATTTTGGATGTCTCCTGTGTTCCCAATCTGTGAATTACAAATACACCAGACTCATGATGACAGTGTCTGATAACACAACTGGTGAGCGTTACCTTTTACAAACAGGTGAGCGATTTGCATTGATATTCTAAGAGTGATACAGGATTATCTTCCCAGTTTTACAAAGCAAGCTCTACAATTCCTTAAACAGATGAGGGTTTCTCAACTTTGGCACGATTGACACTCTGAGCCAAATAATTCTTAGTTGTGTATGTGAGGGAAAGTGGTTCTGTGCACTGAAAGCTATTAGCAGCATCCCTGGCCTCTATCTATCAGATGCCAGTAGCTCTCCCCCAAGTTGTGACCACCAAAAATGTCTCCACACACTGTTAAATGTCCCCTGGGGAGTGAAACCGTTCCTGTGTGAGAGTCACTGAAATAGACAAATCCAGCCATAGTTAATGCAAACCTGTGAATACAATCTCCATCTCTTTCTAATCATCTACCATTTTCAGTATTCTTCCCGTCTCTCTGATCCCAGCTGACAAAAGCTTCCATGATGTGTCAGTCTATAGACACTTCCTTTCTGTAATGCGTGATGGTTTCTCTTTCAACAAGTTTGTGGTGGCTATGGCGAAGATCAAGACTAGAAGGAAGAAAGGGAGGATGTAATGGCAATGAAGAAGAGGCAGTTTGATTCATGGTGAGTTGAACTGTTAGAGCAGACCCAAAAGACCCAAATCCAGAATCCCGAATCCTTGAATCCAAAGAGTTCATCCCAACTACAGCTCAATCTACATCTTCATAGTACAACAAGTGAATAAGTGAAACATTCAGCCAGTCATTGTTTTGTTTACAGCAAATCAAACAGCCCATGGCCTTGATGTCCCTTCCATTCAATTGATTCACTGGTTTGAAGAAATAAAATAAAAATACATATGGATTTAAAATGTAAACGCTTACACTGAAGTAACTGTGGAGTAAAGGAATCTGTCTGTTTATATGCAGATTTATGGGAGCGAAAGACTGAAGTTATTCAAATACTAAGTTATTTTTATAAAGGGTAAATTACATACAACTACTGTTGGCAATTTGCTTCTTACTAACTGTTCTGTTGTTGTTTACCTTGTGCTTTTTTTTTTTTTAATTCGCAGAACTGTTGAGATGCCATCAGCGAGGCAAGTCGCACACATATAAACCAACTATAAGGTGCTAAGGTTTAATACTGACAAATTAATCATGCTACTCATGTTGATGTTTACTAGTCAAGATATCATAAGGCCCATACCTCTGAAATGCAAAATGTGAAATGTGAAGTGGGTTTTATAAATTTGATTTCTATCAATTGGGTCATCTTTAGAAAATCTGATTTAAAGACTAAAGCCAATACAATAAGAAAAAAGTTGAGGGCTAAAAATAGCTAAATATGAATCAATACAATCATAGGTTTATGAGGGGTACCAAATAAAAGTCTCTACATGGACAAGATCTATAGACAGCCACTGTTTGGGTATTAGTTCCTATAGGACTTTTTATGGTCTAGAATTAAAGAAATAATGAGAAAGGCCACCGGAGCAGCTACCTCCATGCTTCTTCAGAGTTTGCTGACCTCACTTGGCCTGTTAGTTACCCACTACATTCTTGCCACAAAGATTACTTCTACGGACAGACCTTTGAAGTTAAAAAATTTTAGGGAGAATTAACAATTTGAGGAACACGGAACATGTGGTTCCAGAAAATGTTTTATAACTATCTTTTCCTCCTCCTGTGGGATATGGGATGGTTATAAAAACCTCAATGGTCTATAAATTGAATATAATTTATTAGCAGGCATTGAAGAGATGGTCTTATTCTCTTGGGAGTGACCCAGAAGTCTGGTGCCACCAGAGTCCGCTAATCCTACTTGGTATTCCAAATGAAAAAAGCAGTTTCATCCTGCTGACAAAGGCCAGAAGTTCATGTTTTACAAGTTAGCATTTCAAACACGGGTCAGGCAGACTCGGGTTGAAACAGAAAGCCCTTTCAGTCTTCTATTTTCTTATTTCAAAACTCACCTGGCCTCCCTAAACTCTCTCCAACTGAAGATGACCATTATTTAATTTGACAAAACCCACTTTAGAAAATGACTTTGGTTCTCAAGCATATATTAGGTAGGCTATCCAATAACTTAAGGAACTAGTTTAGGAGAAAACCAGATTGGTAAAAACACTTCACCTACAGGATTATAAGCAAGCTAAAACTTTATAGGCTTTTATATCCTCACAGAATGCAAAGAACACAGGGGCAGGGATGAAATGCCCATTTTCATGGCCATCTCTGGTTGTATTTAGCAAAAGTCCTGCAGATTTTGTCTTTACACAAAGTAGAACAGGGATGTACAAAAACCAGTGCCATAATATGAAAAATAATGGTATGATCTAGTTGGGGTTTTTGTTTGTTTGCTTTCTTTTGATGGTGGGAAAAGGGGAAGGTTAAAAAAAAAGCATTGATTACATGGCAGTTCTCCAAATAAAACTGTAACAAAAGAATAATATATGCTTAACACTTAACACTGTGGAGACCATTTCTATATCCTTTTTTTCTTTTGATTTCTTCCTTCACTTCTCCATCGTGTGATGTCTATTTCTTTATGTTTAAGTCTCCATGTTAGCTTGTAACTGTGGCATTTCAGCTTCATATGACACACGGGAACAAAACAAAATGGAAATAAAAAGGAGCGAGGTTATTATTCTTCTTGTGCAGAGATAACACTGTAGATTCAGAAGCCCTTCTTCAAGAGAGTATGAGAACGTGTAGATTGTTCTTTAAGTCCATAATTCCAGCATGTCTCTTTCATGGTCTCATTGCTCCAGAACTGACAGGGTTTCTTGATAAGGTGCGGGTTTCTCAAACCGGAGCATAGGCACGATAAAAGTGTCACTGTTGGGCTCCTTAATTGCACATTCTGTAATAAGACTGTAAAGTGCAATGGCAGAGATTTTTAAAATGGGGAGGTCTTTTTTTTCCCTATTCTGTTTCCCAAGCTCCCCTGACCACCTTCTTTCTCCATAAAGGTGTTTTTACCTTGTAGCGCCTATGTTCTTATAATGACACATGAGAAGATGTTTAAAGGTCTTCTTGAAGGTGGCATTACAAAGTGCGTAGCAGGCGGGGTTGATAGTGCTGTTGATGTAACAGAGCCAATAACCAATTGTCCACACTGTGTTGGGAATGCAGGGTGCACAGAAGGTGTTAATGAGCACCATGACATTGTACGGGGCCCAGGTGATGATGAAAGCCAACAGAATAGCCAAGATCGTCCTGGTCACTTTCTTCTCCCGGGAAGGAGGAGGCTTCTTTTTGGCCGGCTGCTTAGTCATCTTCACAATCTTACGAGCCACAATATTCTGTTTTTCATCTCCATTCTGACCTGCAGAACCGACTAGCTCCACAGTGGTATTCGTTGGGGTACATGAGTCACCTTTGGGGGTCTTGGTGACAATCTTGATGCACGTTTGCTTAGAGTTCTCATCTTTGGAGTGGCCCAGGGAAGTGGAAACTGTGTTCTCATCCTGGGTTATTTCATCATCTCTCATATTAGAGGCAACAGCGCTGACAGAGGTGGAATCATTGGAGCTCTCTTTCTCCTCTCCCTGGACACAGTTTTCAGTCACAGCATCTCTGGGGGCTTTACCGTTCTGGATTTTGTTGTGCTCCAGGCCATCATCACTGCCAGGTGTGTTGTTGTTGTTTGGCTTCACTATCCTTCCTTGAACCAGACTTGGAGAAACTGGTTCTTGGTTGGCCACAGGCTCCTTCTTATCCTTCTTTATCCTGCTCTTGCTGGCTCGGGATATGTGCCAGTAAAGCACACTCATGATGATCACAGGCAAATAGAAGGCTGCAATGGCAGTACCAAAGGTGACAGCGGCGTTGGAGAAAAACTGAATGTAGCATTCCCCATCCTCTACAGTCCTTACCCCTACGATGAACTGCCAGAAGAGAATGGCCGGGGCCCACAGGATAAAGGAGAGGACCCAGGCAGCTGCAATCATCATACCTGCCATTTTTGTGGTCCGCTTGACGGGATAGGTGAGCGGTTTGGTGACACAGAAGTACCTGTCAAAGCTGATAATGAGCAGATTCATCACTGAGGCATTGCTGACCACGTAGTCCAGGGCTAACCAAAGGTCACATACCACAGGTCCCAAAGGCCAATAGCCAATCACAGTGTAGAGGGTGTACAAGTTCATGGAGAAAACACCAATGATGAGGTCGGCACAGGCCAAGCTGAACAAAAAGTAATTGTTGACGGTCTGGAGGTGGCGGTTGACTTTAATGGAGACCATGACCAGAATGTTCCCAATGATAGTCACCAAACTGAGCGATCCAGCCACAAGGACAATAAACACCACTTCAAATGTCTTATAAGGACTGGTCAGAGCCAGGCCATTGTTAGAGGAGTTTGTTGAGTTATTCATTTTGTGTTCTCTCAGTCAGAAGTCAAGTAGCCAAATACACATGTAAACCTGCAGGGAAATAGAATAGAATTAACAAATATAAACATTGCTTTAAAATATATGCTTTTCAACCATGACTTTTTCTCCAAAAATCTTCATTCTTCCCCTCCATGTTTATTGTGCCTATCTTCCCCGATTCCACACATTAAAGGCAAAGACACTAAATGGAGGCTTCAAAAGATCTTTTCAAGCTGGCAAAGTATTTGAAGTTTGAAAACATTTTGAATGTGTCCATATCTAGATGTGATATCTGTCTGTCTATCATCAATCAATTTAAGTGAGTACACTACTGATGAATTAAACTAAATAAACTAAAATTATACATAAAAACTTCTAAAGCATCAAGAGGTTTCTGGTAGAGCCATAAAAATTAATAAACCAATGGGAAGAAGAATGCATAAAACTTAAGAGAATTGACTCTGTGACTTTTATAGTCCCTAGCACCTTTCCATCTGGTAGCTCTAAGTAAGCCTTTTTCATAATGATAATGATGCTGATTATAACAAATACAAGATAACAATAATTAATTAGCCAACACACATCCCCTAATGCGTATCATTTTTCTCTGATCTCTGTTTTACTCTGTAGTTAGTATCACATAGCTAACATTTCCAATATTCTATATCTTGCAAAGGAAGTCATTTATTAAATGTGTCTTGATAACTACATTAATTTTCTGAATGTTTTATTTTTCAAGTCACCAGCAAATTTATTATTCTACTGTTCTTCCTGCCAAATATTTGGTACAGTCAGGCTAGGATTTATATTTGTTTGTCAGAAGAGGGAACTGAAGCCCAGAAAGAGTCAGTAATTTATATAAGGTCACATATCGAGTCAATCAGAGAGATAAGACTATGGACAAACCTCAGTTTGTTTAAGAATTTACTCATTTACTTAGTCCTCACATCCCTATCAAGCAATCTCTCTGGATTAGGCATTTGATATATGCTGGGTATTCAGTGATGATGAAGACAAGGTCCCCGCCTCTGAGAGGCACATGGTCTCATGGCAAGGATGGGTTGCTAAAGAAGCAATTATTGAACCTGAGTGTACTTTATGTTGCCAAACCCTGCTGTGCTTAAATAAACACATAATTATCATTTTTCAGATAATATCACCAAAGTCTGGTGCCAGCCTACATGTAGGAAGTTATATTTCAGCTCTAGTTATAAAGATGAGCAGAATGGTCTACTCGAGGATGTTCATTCAGAAGTGCTATCGTAGAAAAATCCCCTGAAAATATTAAAACAACTCACTGACAGAGGATTGGTTAAATAGATTACAAAATACCCTTGCAGTGGAATAGTATGCAGCTGTTAAAACAATGAGGTAGATATATGTGGTCTGGCCTTGTGGAAAGTTATATAGTTAGAAGACGATATGCTCACAGCAAGACTAGAATGTTATAGAATATAGTTCTATTTAAGCAGAAGGGTGATTACATATATGAAATGAATTTGTAGGTCTGGAGGAAACATTGAAGAGTTGAATCAAGGTAATGATGTGAATGAAACGCCAGTTACCATTTTGCCTTCCAAAATTATACATGAGGTATCAGTTACGGCGCCAAGAAAAAGGGACTTACAAAGTGTCATTTACTTTTGACATCCGATGCTTCCGAATACTATTCAATGCTTCCATTATGAATATATCCTTTTATAATTACACAAAATGCAGATTTTCAGGCTCACTCTAGACCTCCTGACTCAGAATTATAAGGCATGTTAGGAAACACTTCTGAAGCCACCCCTGTGTTATCTGTTTTAAGATCTGGCCCACTATGTACCATCCCACCCTTGTATATCACAACGATTTCTGTGGACTTGGTCCTTATCCATCACATAAACATTCCTAGTGTGTCATGTGTGTTACGCTTCGGAGGAAGCGCTTTCTTCAATATTATATTCCTCACTGGGTATTACGAAGAGTTTGGTATTGTTAAAGCATAGCACAATAGACATCCACTGGGGGGTCTTGAAATGTATCCCCCAGCAGATGGGGGGGGGGGAATATTGCAGTTCATGGCCCTCAGGTTTCTATCTTTGTAAGTCCCTTGTTCATGGCTTTGACCTAGGACACCAACTGATACACCCATCTATGATTTTCCTCCTTCACTAAAAGAGCAGTGAATTTTGGCTTCCTACCTAGTCTTTGTAGCTCTGCCATCTAGCTCACCGCCTCAAATGTAACCGGTGCTCAAAAATGTTTATGGAATCAAAACAGGATTAACAATTAATATTATTAATTCAACCTCTATTTACTTATCCAGTGGAATTGTCTCAATAGCATTTCTCTGTAATGGCACATTTTTTTGGGGGGGGGTCGTGATTCATACAACTGTTTATTCATGAAACTTATTTGAACAAAGTAATTTCACTAATCCAATCATTATTCCAATGATTCCTCATTAGTTAAGGTAACTGGAAGACAGAATCCTGACTTCTTTATAAGCTCACTTTTCTCTGTTCATTAAATTCATTGACATATTTTGAATTGAGTTATAGTTATATGTTCACAAATTGTTCACTTTAATAAATTTTTATTGAAAAATACCAAACATTTACCTTCTGAATGTCCTATGTGACACGTTATTCTTTGCATTCATTTTAATAAAACATAGGGCTATATTTATTTTAGTTTTAAAAAGCTTTTTGGTGACTTCCTATTAAAAGTAATGTATAACATTTATGTTAAAAAATAAACTAGTTTGATCTTTTATTTTATGGATTAAGAAAGCATAAGAGTGATTTATCTGTAGTACTTGGCTCTTGCCATTGTTTGTGCTAATCATAATACCTGTTATTATTCTAAAACATAACAATATAAAGCTGTATGATTCTATTTATTTATTTGTTAGTTTTTCTCCTTTCTTCTCTTCCCCTCTTCTTGTCTACAGTGAGCACGCATTACATTTCAGCTAAAAAAGAACAAGGGGCGCATGGGTGGCTCAGTCAGTTAGGTACTGGACTCCATTTCAACTCAAGTCATGATCTCATGGCTCATAAGTTTGAGCCCCTCATCAGGCAGTATGAAGCCTGCTTAGGATTTGTCTTAGACCTGTCTCTGTCTCTCTCTCAAAAATAAACAAACTTTAAAAACAACAGCAACAACAACGATCCCAAACCCAAAGTATCCAAAAAACTAAAAGAAAACAGTCTTATGGCTCACAAACATATGTTATCTCACCTTCCATTAACAGCACTATAAAATACATAAACCATCCTGTCACCCTCTTGTTCTGAAGACAGAAGCTGAGGCCACAGTAGGGGGTTTAAGTGATCATTCTCTGTTTCAAGGATAGTGAGCAAAAACTCTACCACTAAAACTATCATCCTTACCTTTGAGTTAGATACTCTTTCTCAGTTTCCCTTCTCCACTTGAGAGTTACACTTTATCCAGAAGATGTGAAATTGGTAGGCATTTGTATAATGATGAATTGTACCCAGAGGATGCTGCCTGAGCCAGGTTCTGTATGGGGGATGGGGGGGTGGGGGAAGGCTTGGAATACTTACCCAGGTAGACATAGCAAATCTATATAACGTTAACATACTTAGCTGCTATCATATCCTCTGAATTCTGAGTTCTAATATTTGCTTGTTCATAGTCATGCCACATATAAAAATGGAAAATATTTCATTTAGAAGCCAGGACAAATGTCTGAGGGATGGCATTCTTTTCTCCTCATATGATGCACAAGCAATGGGGCAAGGGAAGACACTTCTTTGTGCCACGCCCTTGCCTCCTCTGCTGTTTACATTTCTGCAAAAGTTTTTCCCTCCGGTGTGGCATCACAGGGTTTTATTAAAGTGAAAATTGTTACATCACGGATGAAATAACAGAATCACAACAGACTAAACAATGAAGATGACCCTGAGGATTCAACATCTTAAAATGTCAAGTGTACAGTAATCCATTCGGTATCTCACAATGTTAGTTTATGACTAAGTTTTGCAAGTATCATGGAAATTTACGAGAAAAAAATTTCTGGCCCTAGCTTCTTTCTTTACTACTTGAGTCTCTATACGTAGCAGTGGGAAATGTATCACGGTTTCATATTACCCTTGAAAAGTAGTGAGTGCTAATCTCTGCTCTTAATTATTAGCTGTGAGAGTCTGATCATGTCACTAAACACTTCCAGGATGCTTAATTTTCTTTTGTTTTTCAAACAAGAATATTAATAACCCTATTTTTCTTCTAGAGTTGTGGGAAACCTCAAAGTGAGGTAACTTCTTTGACCCATGATATATAAATGTTAACATAAGAGCCATTAATATTTACATTTGGTAAATGGGCTTAAATGAATCACTTTTCTTAATAGTTAATAGAAAATTGTGTCTGTAGATGAAATTGATGAAAAGTGAGGAGGTGTAGGATGGAGTGGTAGTGGTGATACAAAACAATCATTATCAATAACACCGTTACCAAGAATATTAAATCATCGGGGCGCCTGGGTGGCTCAGTCGGTTAAGCGTCCGACTTCGGCTCAGGTCATGATCTCACAGTTTGTGGGTTCGAGCCCCGAGTCAGGCTCTGTGCTGACAGCTAGCTCAGAGCCTGGAGCCTGCTTCAGATTCTGTGTCTCCCTCTCTCTCTCTGACCCTCCCCTGTTCATGCTGTCTCTCTCTCTCTCTCAGAAATAAATTTTTAAAAAAAACATAAAAAAAAGAAGAAAAAAAGAATATTAAATCATCAATGATAATATTGATAATAGTTAATAGGTATTGAGCCTGATTACTCTTCACAGCAACTTCTGAGGTGATTATGATTGTTATTATATGCTTTTTTCATACATGTTGAACTAAAGATCAAAGAATTGAGTTATTTGAGATCCAACCCCCTGAGTGCCTGAGTCCAGATTCTGCTACAAGTATTTATTGTTTGTCTGAGGAACATGCATACTTGGCAGCCAATATACGCCCCAAATATTTTATTTATTACTTTAACCTGCCATGACTAAGTCT